ATATATAGTAAAATTGTAAAATATGATTACAATTTAAAATTACTGTTTTCTATGTGAATCTATTTTAAAATGTAATTTATTTCTATGATGCAAAGCTGAATTTTCAGCATCAGTCTTCAGTGTCACATGATCTTCAGAAATCATTCTAATATGCTGATTTGCTGCTCGAGAAACATTTCTGATTATTATTAAAGTTGAAAAAAATGATAATAATCCTTGGTGAGCATGAGACGTTTAAAAAATTGTAATGTTTTCAAACTTTGGTTAAGTACTGTATGCATGTATGAGTTTACATAAAATGTGTAATAAATGAATAAAAAAAAATATTATATTAGCACGAACAATCTGCAAAATCTTTAATAACATAGTTGAACAATTATGTGCAAAGTCTGATTAATGTATGGTTAGTAGAAGATGAGATGTCTGCTCAAAAATTAAAAAGACGTTTCTAATCTCTCAAAATAATCCTGTCTAGATCTTATAATAACTGACGCTCATCCATACCTTGAAGATCTGCTGGTCTTTCACGCGCAGCTCGATGTGTTTGCTCCGGATGCTGCACTTGATCTCTTTGGCTGAAGTTCCGGGAGGAACATTGACTTCGATGAAAACCTCTTCCATAGTCTGGTACCACGAGCCCCACGCTGTTTGACACGGGATCACGCCGCTCCTCTCCTCAAAATGCACCGACATACTGCTCTCCTCAGTGGCCTCTCATGAAAACGGCTGCAAGACACCCTACAAACTCACATCAGATTCAATAACAGCTATTATTACTGTCACTCCAGATGTATTGCTCATGCATTATGTCTTCTTCTGCGGCGAATGCCGTGCTGTTGACGGATCGAGCGCGCCATCTAGTGTATCGGAGAGCGCGTAAACAAAAGCTAATTTGTAACGTTTTGTCAAATATATAAGGAATAATGTACAGCCAACGTCCCAATGTCGTATAATATTGTTTATGTTGAGTAAAATACATCGACTGAGTTAAGCTGATACTTATTTTACTCTTAAAGCTAAGTGAAACGATCGATTACATCGTAAACAAACAGGCTAGCAACAAGGCTGCAAAATATAACAATAATGTATTTATCAGTGTAATGCAATACTTAACTAACATGTTAGCTCTCTTTATATGTAATATTTGAGTCAAAAGTTGTAAAACAAAAACAGCTAAAACCATAGCTGAATTTTAATGTAAAAGTATTTCTTAATTGTGGTTGCAATCATTTACAAAAGCAATAACAAGTAGCTAAATCTCGCAATTCTCTCACTTGTACATTGCTATTCTTATTGTGGTAAAAAGTTAATAGTTTTGTAGCTCTGCAGCAGTTATTTTACATACTTTTATGATAGAAATGCAGTACCATCATGACGTTAACCACTAGGCATGTCCAATTGTCAGACACCATGAGGAAAAAAAATTAACTTAAATGATTTTAGCAAATGGCTGCAATATAACAAAGAGTGAAAAATTTAAGGGGGTCTGAATACTTTCCGTACCCACTGTATATATATATATATATAATTTGTTTTTTTAACCCCCAACCCGCTGTGGGTATTCTCACTCCAAGTTGAACTTAATAGTTGGCAGCCCTGAAGCTGGTCTTAGCTGGTTTAAACTTGAAGTAGAAAGTCAGACAAGGCAACTACAGGACCATTGTTTATTGAAGCTGAAAAACTCTTGCAAGAAGGTCTAGTTTGCTTAGCCTAAGCTGGTTGGCTGGTTTTAGTTGGTCTTCCAGCCTGGTCGTAGCTGGTCAGCAGGCTGGTTTTAGAGGGGTTTTGGCCACTTCTTTAGCTGGTCAGGCTGGGAGACCAGCTAAAACCAGCTACTTCCAACCTTGTCTGACTTTCCCTAAAACCAGCTACTTCAAGCTTAAACCAGCTAAAACCAGCCAACCAGCTTAGGCTAAGCAAACTAGACCTTCTTGCAAGAGTTTTTCAGCTTCAATAAACATCGGTCCTGTACTTGCCTTGTCTGACTTTCCCTAAAACCAGCTACTTCAAGTTCAAACCAGCTAAAACCAGCCAACCAGCTTAGGCTGGTTTTAGCTGTTATTTTCAGCAGATTGCACAGGTACATCTGCAAGATGTCTGTTAAAGATCACTTCATCTGCTGTGTACAAACATCTGATAGACGTCTTTAAGATGCCAGTTTTACATTCAATCTAAATCATAAACATCTTAAAGACATCTTCTAAACGTCTAGTTGACGTCTGACAGGAAACGTCCTATAGACGTATTGCAGATGAGCAAACACTATAAAAAATACGTCTTGCAGACGTTAAATAGACGTCTCTGTGATGAATGTGTGCTATCAGGGTAGTTGATGTCTAGTTTGCTTGATATACTCTTTAACCTGTTGCTAAAAAAGCAAGTGGATTTTCCTAATCCTTTAATTTGATTATCCTGAAAGCATTTCAAGTCACATTCAGCCCTTCATTTACTGACAGTCATAAGACAGTGCTTCAGTTCAGTACATCACATTATGACCTCTAACCATTGATGCCTTAATTTATTTTATTTTGTATTTATTTATTTACTTTTTTGCAACAGAAATGGCTCTTCTTTTGGCCTTGTTATGTCTCACAAGGTGAGTTAATGGACTAGGTATACTTACTTTAAATGAGTTAACTTTAATGCTAATTTTACCTGACGTAGGTCTAAATTCACTGAAAGGACTAATCTAGATGGTCATTTCTCTCTGTGTAGTGTTGCAGATGTATTAGGAAAGCAAAGGATAAATTCAGAAAATATAACACGGATTCTAGACCGACTTCTTGAGGGTTATGGCAATCGACTGCGCCCGGGATCTGGAGGTAAGCACAGGCCTCCCAGTATAGAAATTAAATCATTTGAATTAGAAATTATTAGAAATTTTAATAATTTGTCAAAGTTTTGACATTATGTGGTTCAAAGGCGAGATCCCATTTTGTGTTCACATCAAATTAAATATACAAAAGTGATTATATTATACACAGAAAGCATTTTAAATGAAAGTAAAGTCTCTACTTTAATGTTTCAAATAATGTTTGTGAAAATAAAATATGGGTGAAATAATGTTCCATCGTCATTCAGCGAAACAGATATATATATTTAAGCAAAAATGAAACAACATACTTATTACGATCTGCACTTATTAAAATATATAAAATAATAAGAGATCATACTAAACTCTTATTATATTTTAAATGATTAAATACTTATTGTTGACAAATGGGTAAAACCTGGTTGTTTGAAGGATTTTGGCAAAGATTGGGAAAGATTTAAAATGACAATTAATTAGTATTTTAGTGCTGCACTGTGGTGCTTAAATAGAGTCTTTTAATGTCATCTAATGATTTTTGGTCTAAATGTGCCTGACAAGATTTTTTTGATATATGAACTATTGTAACACTGAATGACATTTTCTGTAAATCATGGTGAAAACGTATGATAGGCATTTTTTTTATTTTTTTATTAAACAGGACGCATTCTAATGTATGAAAACAATTAAAGTTGTTTTGATGCTCGAATACCCCTTTATGTATTTCACTTAATTTTGCTGTAACAGTATAATGGACTCACATCTCTACATGTAAATGTAATCTGTGATTAACTTTGCAGTCTCTGTAACTGAGGTCAAAACAGACATATTCGTCACAAGTTTTGGACCAGTATCTGATGTTAAGATGGTAAGAAAATACAGCACCCAAATGTTACATCTTTATTTCGATTTAGCTATAGTGCTTCATGTCTTGTCGCTAAGTAGATAACAAGCTGATGTTTTATTTATGTCTGTTCAAACTAATATCAGTATGTCAAGCCTCACCCACACTATGCTTAAAAAAGAACTTAAATTATGAATTCATATCGATTGTAACCATAAAAAAAGAACATGATTCACATAAAGAAATTGTTCTGTCTCTAAGGAGTTCACCATGGATATGTTTTTCCGCCAAATGTGGGTTGACGAGAGGTTAGCCTTTCAGGGGCCCGTCGAAATCTTGCCTTTGAATAATCGCATGGTGGACAAGATCTGGACGCCCGACATGTTTTTTCGCAATGCAAGGACGTCACTCGCACACAACATGACGTCTCCTAACAAGCTGTTTCGAATCATGCAAAACGGAACGGTCTTTTACACCATGAGGTAAAACAATCAGATGAGAGCTGAGCTTTGAAAAACCCTTGATTGGAAACCCTCGGAAATCTGTTTCAGTATAAGTGAATGTTTTCATTAGGATATTATAATAGCAAATAATTTGGGTCACCAAATAAATGCTTGTTTTCTGGATATTTTAGGCTGACTGTAAGTGCAGTATGTCCAATGGTGTTGATGGACTTTCCTATGGATGGACACACATGTCCTCTCCTGTTTGGAAGCTGTAAGATCTGTCTGTCGTGTCTGTCCGTCCGTCTATCCATCTGTGCACCATTTCTCAGCTGCTCTCTCTTACACTGTACCTTCAGATGCTTACACTAATCGTGAAATCGTCTACACGTGGAGGAAGGGTCTTCAAGCATCAGTAGATTTTCCTCCAGAATCATCAAGCTTACTTCAGTATGATCTTGTGGGCCAGACCTTGTTCAGTGAAACATATAAATTCAGCACAGGTATGTTTTTATTTAATGCTCAGTTTCCCCTAAATATTACAGATGTAGCATGTCAGATGTCTTGTACAGTTACTGTGTAGGGGTGTGCGATATTTATTGGCTATGATAATATGATAATTGTTTGTTTTAATGATATGTGAGCTGACATTATGTGTCACTCACTTTGCAAAAAACAAACAAAAACACGTCTTGAGAGTCCAAAAGCATTGCCTGTGTGATGAAGCCTATTAGAATGCAGTTAAATGACCCTATAATTCAAGTTATGAAAGCAAAAAATATCCCTGTATATACAGTAGATGTCAGTTATCTTTAAGATGTGCATGTGCTATCAGGAGTATTATCTTTTTTTCTGTTTCACCAATGAAAATAGTTCGAAACAAAGCCAGAGCAGAACATCTGTGCGTCTCAGAGCAACACTGCTGTGCCTTGATCCTGAATGAATCTGTTTTTGAACGAATCATTTGAGTCAATGATTCAATGATCCGTTTGTAAAGACAGCCACTTGCTTCATTTCTGAATGAATCATCCGTTTTGAACGAATCATTTGAATGAATGATTCCAATGAATCACTCGTTAAGACAGGGACTTGCTGCCACCTACTGGTGGTTTTAGTGTCATATTTATTTACCCTATAATTCAAGTTATGAAAGCAAAAAATATCCCTGTATGGGTTTTTGTTTTTTATATTTATATAGTTAAGTAATATCACACAAGCAACAGCTGTTTTCATAAATATTAGGGCATGATTGCAAATGTGATATACATTTTATAAAACAGTTCAACAAACAAGAAGTGAATACTGAGTGAGTTACATTTTAGACTCAATATTGCCTGCTTTTTTTTTTCTTTCAGTTTTGACAATGAAAATGGTTTCAAACAAAGCCGGAGCGAAACATTTGTGCATCTCAGAGAAACTCTGCAGTGTTTCGTTCCTGAATGAATCTGTTTTTGAACGAATCATTTGAGTCAATGATTCAATGATCCGTTTGTAAAGACAGCCACTTGCTTCATTTCTGAATGAATCATCCGTTTTGCACGAATCATTTGAATGAATGATTCCAATGAATCACTCGTTAAGACAGGGACTTGCTGCCACCTACTGGTGGTTTTAGTGTCATATTTATTTATAACCAGCCAAGGTACCAGCATAAAAACACACTACGCAAAATATGGTTTAATTATCATTATCGGAAAATCACCAAATCAATATCGCACACCCTTATTACTAGGGTAAATGACTTATTTAATTGTGTGTGTTAAGAGCTACAAGATTCCCGGCCAGCTTCTCCTCTGAGAGGCAATCTAAGATGCTTAACTGATCAGGCCTAATTCATGCTGTCTGTCTTTAAAAATAGCTGCGTTACAATAAGCCCGTTTCAGCCTCTGATCGTGTCCCGAGAATGACCGGGGGCTCAGTAATGAGGAATTTATAGGCAAGCAAAAATGGGGTACCCATCAGATCTGTGAGAAATGGATCAGCCTCACATCCGAAAGAAAGTTTTGTGCCTGTATGACTTTGCCTTTTCTTGTAATTAAGGACAGGAATTAAGAGCCGAGAGCCAAAATTCCCTCTAAATGTTTCGGAGTCGTGTTTGGCCAAATGGGCTTGATCAGAGCATCATATGGATGTGTACAGACTGCCGAATTTGCACGATTTGTCTTCATCAGTGTCCTCCTCTAATGTCTTGGCACCGTCTAGGTCTGTATTCTGTCCAGGTTGTCCATTTCTATCTTCAGAGGAAGCTTGGCTACCATCTCATCCAAACGTACATCCCATTAATTATGGTGGTTGTGCTGTCACAAGTCGCATTCTGGATCAACAAGGAGTCTGTCCCGGCTCGAACAGTGGCTGGTATGAATGTGTCATATTTCTTTGAGTATAAAAATTACATTGAACATCTACACTATTTCTGAAAGAAGTCTGTTGTGCTCTCCAAGGCTGCATTTAAAACCATTGTTATTCAATCAAAATACGGTAAAAACAGTAAAATTGTAAAATATTATTACAATTTAAAATTACTGTTTTCTATTGTAATATATTTTAAAATGTAATTTATTTCTGTGATGCGCAGCTGAATTTTCAGCATCATTACTCCAGTCTTCAGTGTCACATGATCTTCAGAAATCATTCTAATATGCTGATTTAAGTGTCTTTACTGTCACTTACAGTCAGTTTAATGCATCCTTGCTCAATTAAAGTATTTATAAAAAAAAAAACAACCATGACCCCATACTTTTGAACGGTAGTGTATGTTATGTTTTGGGGTTTCATTGTGAAATTTGAAGTGCAGTTGTAACATTTAACTGCACCTATTGTAAAAAAAAAAATAAATAAGAATCATAATATTTCTCAATAGCTGCTTACCCGCCATCTCAGTAAAGAGCACAGTCATCACTCATGACACGCTGTGGTCCATATTTATTCTATGGAGTAGCATACTACTCTTACTGTTGCAATATATAGTATGCATACTTTGTACAGTATGCAGTTTTTCTGTATGTATGGAGTAACTGAAAAGAACATAGACGTAAAACATCCCACAATGCAATGCGCTTGATTTGACCTTCCATTTCCAGTATAAATGAACTGAAAGTAATAGTAAAGCCTCAATTTTTAATGTCAGCTTCAATTCCTAATTGGTTTCTTGACTCGTTATTTGATCGTACTGCAAAATGTTTCGTTTTACAAAAAAAAAAAAAAGAAGAAAAAA